GATTAGGTGTCTCAGTAAAATAAGTCTCTATAAACTTCGCGGTTGAAATCTCGAGATCGGTCTAATCGATGACTAAAAACTGTGAAATGGTTGAGGGTTGTAGGCAGCAGTGCCCGCACTCTTTATCTTAACCCTGGCACCTGTTCTGGCTTTCTTCCAACGTAAACTGTCCTGCAAAAGTGCAAGGGTAATAGTTGTGTGAATGGAACTGAAGGTATTCGAACGTGTTCATATGCTTTCTGCGTTAATAAGAAATCGATCGAGTGCTATTCCTCGTAATATAGGTCAATGTGTGGGTGACAAGTAATCCTGAAACGTTTAAATTGAAAGAAACGGCGACGATACGTTCAACAAATACAGTTGAAGTGTATTGTTCGAAAGGAAAAACCATTAGGTTTCTGGGCAACCCGGGTTAATCAGTTAATCCAATTCATCTACGGAGGAGACATCAGGCCTATGATGGTACAAGTGTGAATTCAACTGATAGAATGAGTTATGTAAAAATACTATAAAGAATATAATTTTAGAATTTCAATGTCTTTCTACTTTGCAAGCCATAATCAACTTTTTCTCCAAGCAGTATTTGAGGGCTGACAGCTCCATAGAACTTTATGATCTCAGAGTGCCCTTCTATGAATCGTATGCTCAGGATCATCCTGTCACCTCAAAATAAATTGCATTTGTCGGCCAAAATTCTTTTTGTGTAGACGAATCTCTTGAGGAGGTGAAATCTAGAGACCATATCTTAAATTTCCTGCTGTATTTTTTAGGCCAAAGACAGCTGTCGTACTTCGAGTTCCGGGTGTATCGATGACTCCAATTCCATCGATCAAGCATTCTGACCGGATTGATCCCGTTTGGAGTGATCTCACCACACAGAATTTCCTTGACTTTGTATGAACAACATGTTCAGTTTATTCAATTGAAGCTTCCCTATCCCTCCGGTTCTACTTGGCTCTAGTGGTTCTTTTATTCGCCTTGGCGCTTAATTAACACCATAGTTATTGATTTGAACTGATCGTCCCACAGACTTCATCTTCATTCACAATCCTCAGAAGCACTAGACTCGACGTTTTACCCTTATTACAGGCCAGTAATGCACATCCACTGTTCCATCCGGGATTCGATCTCCGGACATAGGGGGCATGTGTGTTGCCACTGTGCCAACTCACTCATGTCATGGTTGAATCGAATCGCCAATTCATGTTTGTTAAGGTATCGTCTTCAGTGATAGTCAATCAGTCTATTATTGACCCGACAGCGACGAAGGGCAACACAGTTAACTATCTGTAAACTCCAATCCAAAGCCTGCAATGAAACCAGATCTTCCATGTAGACTGACTTTTACGGACTGGATATCCACCACTAATGAACCATAATAAAAGCAAGAGTTGAGTCAGGTGTTTCCGAGAGTATGGTTGATTAGAAGAACTGAGGATTGTGCGTGTAGGTGACGTTCGAAGGATGATCAGTTCAAACCAGTATAAATAATCTCACTCTACTACTCACAATTAACTGAATCGAATGTGGATCATAAATATGACTCAGTTT